TGAATGAATGAATGAATGAAGGAAGGAAGGAAGGAAGGAAGGAAGGAAGGAAGGAAGGAAGGAAGGAAGGAAGGAAAGAAGGAAGGAAGGAAGGAATATCACTCACTCACTAAATCATAGAACCTATTCAATTATAACTAATCTGGACTCACACTTTACACAAAATCACCAAATGGTCAGTTTGTAATGCAATGTAATATAAGAACCTAGTTTTAATCTTCCAGCTTTGTTTAAAGTATCACCAGAAGGGGAGGTAGCAGGTATCTCTGACGCACCTGATATTACAATGCATGTGTCCTTTGATCGCCTCTTCATGGCTTTATATGCTGCATCTGCGATGGCAAAGAGATGAGGTGGCCTCTCATACAACTCACGCCCTTTGTATTGCTCAACTATATCACGGCCATAGATGTTCAAATTCTTGTAAGGATTTACAGAAACCACTACTTCCCCAATAAATGTGTAGATCCGTCCCTTTTCAAACCTAAATGGTGCAAGACAAAGGTGACAGAAAAATTAGAAAGTGTTATAAAGCAGACAATATCACATAACTAACATGAACTTTGTACTTTAATGAGAATTTCATTTCATCATACTTTTTCCTCATGACTAAAGAATTTACTAACTGAAAATAAGCAATATTTGAAGAGTTACATCAGTAACTCTTCTATTATGTACGGGCAGAATTATGTACACTGTGTATGCCTTTTAAGTTCTTGTAAATGTAGAAACAGGATTAGGGCATGTAAAAATTCAGGGTATTCATGAATGTATGCCCAGACGTATCCTTAATGTTGTATCTCTATTAATAATAATACTTAAATATGTGATATATCACAATTCAAAACTCTAAAAATCCCAGAAAAAAAACCAAGATTTTAATATTTAACTTACAAAATGCCATGACAAACCTTTTGTTTTCTACTGGGAATTTAGTATTTCTACCAGTATACCATGAATCCAAGTCACTACAGAAAAGTAGCACTGCAGATTATTTATTTGTTTGTATCCTAGCTTTATTAGTTTTACCCAAACATATCCAACAAACTGTCCCCCATTTTTTTCATTCACCTGTGAGGTGGGTTGTGGAGAGAGAGAATGACTGGCAAAAGGCACCCAATTGGTTTTTATGACTTGAACTCATGATCTCCCGCTTTCTAACTGGGTTCCTTAACTATTAGACCAAACTGGCTCTTTTTAAATTTGGTTCATGATAAAAGATAATATATTTTGAGTCCAGGGCAATATTTTCTCCTCCCGTTTTATTTAGAACAACTTTTGCATCACAACAACCTGTTAATGTTTTTCTACCTCTAGATCTCATCAGCATGTTTCAACTCTACAGGATTTGATGGCTGATGGAATCTCAGTCCTTTTTGTTCTCAAACATTACACACTGTTCTTCATCAATCACAAGGCAAGATATGACAAATATTATTTGATAGTTCCATTAGACAAAGAAATAAAAAAACCCAGTAAGTAAGGCAAAGATAAAGGTTCCCCTCGCACATATGTGCTACTCATCCCCAACTCTAGGGGTGGGGGTGCTCATCTCAGTTTCAAAGCCAAAGAGCCAGTGCTGTTCGAAGACATCTCTGTGGTCATGTGGCCGGCATGACTAAACACTGAAGGCGCATGTTACCTTTCCACCAAGGGTGGTTCCTATTTTTCTACTTGCATTTTTACATGCTTTCAAATTGCTAGGTTGGCAGAAGCTAGGACAAGTAATGGGAGCTCACTCCGTTACGCAGCACTAGGGATTCGAACTACCGAACTGCTGACCTTTCTGATCGACAAGCTCAGCATCTTAGCCACTGAGCCACCACAGCCCTAAAGCCCTGACTTTCAATTATTTTTTTAGTGACCATTCAAAGTTACCATAGCACTGAAAAATGGTGACTTGTGACTAATTTTTATCGTTGCAGCAATCCAATGGTTATGTGATAAAAATTTGGCCGCTTGGCAACTGGCATATATTTGTGACAGTTGCATTGTCCTAAGATCATGTGATCACTCTTTGTAAGCTTCCCAGCCACTTCCAACAAACGAAGTCAATGGAGGAAGTCAGATTCACTTAACAATTGGATGATTTACTTGTCATCTGCAGTGATTCGCTTAGCAACTGTGGCAAAAAGGTCATAAAATGAGATGCAAATCATTTAACAAGTGTCTTGCTTAGTAATGGAAAATTTGGGATCAATTGTATAAGTGGTCTTCAACTTATGACTACAATATGGACCAGTATTTCCTCTACTTTGAAAGGTGGTTATTAAGTGAGTCATGCCCGATTTTACAATCTTTTTGGCAACAGTTGTTCAGTGTATCACTGCAGTTGTTAACTGAATCACGCCCTTATTAAAGAATTAAACTTCTCCCATAGACTTTGCTTGTCAGAAGCCAGCTAGGAAGGTCATAAACGGCAGTCACATGGCCCCAAGAAGCTGAAACCATTGTAAGTACTGGTAGTCCTCGACTTCTGACCACAATTGAGCCAAACATTTCTATTGCTAAATGAAACAGTTAAGTGAATTTCTCACTATTTTATGATTTATTAACCACAGTTGTTAAGTGAATCACTTTAGTTGTTCAGTTAGGAACATGGCTGTTGAGTGAATCTGGCTTCTCCATTGACTTTGCTTGTTAGAAAGTCGCAGAAGAGTGAGCGAAAGACACTGCAACTGGTTATAAATATGAGTCAGTTGCCAAGCATCTGAATTCTGGTCACAAGGTCATGGGGATGCTGCAATGGTCATGTGTGAAAAATGGTTATGTTACTTTTTTCATGGTATTGTAATTTTGAACAGCCACTAAATGAACTAAATTAACAATTATTGGATCCTCACAAAAAAATAGCAATTGTACTTAAATGCATTGTCATTAAACATGGCATTGAAAAAAATAGGTAACGGGTCAAGCAAAAATACAACAAATTCCTGTTCCACCATGGTGAGAAATTGAGTTTATTTGGTCTGAAGTAGCATAATTTATTTTAGGTTTATTCTGGAGATGAATATTAAATCTAGCAGAATAATATCTCAACTGTGTTTTTGTATGTTGCTAAATTAAATAAAGTACTATCAGCAGTTACAATTTTGTTTCATTTAACATCAATGTGTAACCAGAACTGTCAAAAGTATTTCTCTTTCTTTTTAGATATACCAGCTCTTCTCTTCTCTCTTCCTTTCTGATTTTCTTTTTTTTATTTTCTCCCTTTGTCAAATGCTTCTCTTAGCACTAATTCCCTGTGTCATTTTAGGATTCTGCCTGAGTTACTAAAAGAGAAATGGTCAGTTAAGCCTCCTTCTGGTTTAATAAAATGCAAAAAATTATCACACATCCAGTGTTGAAAGAGTTCCTATCAAAAGCTTTACCAAAATCTTACCAAAAACAATATTTTGCATGTATTCAAAAGTTTTGCATTACATATTGCTTTAAAATTTGGAATTCTGCTTAATTTTTCTACCATGGAGGCATACTACTTCTACTGATGTCTTGAAGCATACGTTTATACTTGAATTTTTAATACATTTTTCAATTCAGTGTTCAGGGCAGCCAATTTCCCCGAGTAGGAAATGCCATTGTGTGCACATTTGGTGTCCCTCCTTTCCTGTATGGGACAAAAACATCAAGGACAGTGAAAGGACAGATTATTTTATTATACAATATTCTGAACTGAGGCAAATTCTTCTATAAAGGAAGCTTGGAAAGGAAGCATATTTAATTCAAAGGTTGCCAACAGGTCCAAACTACCGGCCCAACTGTAAACCATCCTCCTGGCCTATACCATAGTGTGGGTGTGTGGGTGTGCGCGTGCACACACACACATATAGACACATTAAAATTTTAAAGTAATATATTCTATGGTGGCACAGAACTATTGGAAAGGAAAAGATATATGGTGACAGCACTGACAATATTTACAGCACAGGTTCGAATCCCAGTAAGGATATGGCTAGCTGATGAGAGCTAAATAGCTTGAAATAGATCTATACTAGTCTTCCTTTATTTATTTATCAGCACAAATAAAGAAACATATATATAACAAAGGCAACAGTAAAAATATTGGGTTTCTGTCGTGATGGACTCTTGTGACGAGCCGATTGACAGATGATGGAAGCAGTTAGCTTCCTCCCATAATTGGGGCTTACCAGGGGTTGTGACACTATATATATGTGTGTGTTTTCTGAGGTTTTCGCGGGTGTTAGTATGTAGGTCTCTAGTTGTTCGGGTTTTCTCCAATTCTACGCGGGAGAAAACCCGAACAACTAGAGACCTACACACACACACACACACACACACACACACACACACACACATAAAAGATGTTTTTCTGGCTCACTGCAATTTTAATTTACTACAAAGCAAAAATCTTGGATAAAAAGAAGCAAAAGTCAAATCATAAACAGGGGAACACATGAATGCTTTTCTATCTATTTGCATCAGAAGACATCCTAAACCATTCCTCCCCCATATTGTAGAGAGAAAATAAGCTTGGAATGTCTGTTTTATCCATAGACATTAGGAGAGAAGAAGAAGCAAAAGAAAGGCAACGGAGGATAGAATGACTTCCTAGAAAACACAATAAATCAACAAGAGCTATTTTCACTGCCATCTCTCTGACTGAATTTTAACTGACTTTCTCTAAATAGTCACCTTGTATTTATAAAGTCATGTAGACAAAAGGAAAACAAGGCAACAGCTAGAACCAAATTTCTGTATAACAAAAAGTATATGTATTTGGTACATGAAGGTTGAATTACAAATCAAAATATATGTGCCTGGAATTCATTTTACTAATATATTATGCTAGATATATTGCCAGATAACCTAGGTTGAGAATAAAAGCTTGCAGGGATTCTAAAGTCATATAATTCTTACTGACTTGGGCAGTTAAAATTTCATTTCCAAAATGATCATTTAAAAATCTTCAACAGAACATCCATGAATGTTGAAAATCATAGTATTATTTCAAATTTATTTTGAATCTTGATGTTAAAATTGTATACACCAATTCTTATTAAGCATCTGGGTTTGTGGCAGGATCTGATTTCCATGTTGGCATCATTGTGTTATTGGTTCTTCTTTCTTTTAAAAATCTGCTTCAGGCTGGGTTGTCTATATTTAAGTATGGGCTTGCTACCCAATCCCTAAAGGGAAAGCTCTCCACCTCATCCCAATTTAAATTCTATTTCAATTTAGCCACTCCATGCATTTGCTGAAGTGAGCCACAGCTCCAAAAGCTTTTTTATTTTAAAAAATAACATTTGCTAGAAGGATCTGATAGCATGTTTTGTACCAATTTTGAAAACCATAAATTAATTAAGCTTTTCTCCTCCTTACCACAGTCCTTTGTTATCTTAGGAATGCAGAATATCAAGACTCCAAATCATTTAGATACTTGATGTAGTCTAGAAATATTTACATTTTTAAAGCTCTGAATATAATTCACATTTACTGGATAATCAGTTCTTTAGAAATATCAGC